GGTAAGGCTCAAAGGGTGTTCAAGCAAAGCTCACACACACATCAGGTTGGCCACAAAAGAGGTATAATGTCAAGTTGTTTCACTCTTCAAAATTTTTGCCTAAGATTATTTCAAGAGCTTGCATCACTTAGTCAACCGGACCAATAGGGAAAAATCTAGGTATCATCACACAAGGTTCACGGTAAGCTCATCACACAAGGCATTGGCACCAATATCAAACAAGACTCCATACTTTCGCTAGTGTGGAATGTTCATCACAAAAGACTCAATCCACTAGGTCTTGCCATGGACGTCTTTGTCAGCGATGTCTGAATCACCGATTGTACAGATCTAACAGGTCTCTATAGATTCCCTCCTCTCTCACCTCAATCTACTCCTCATCGGTCTCTGCCTCCGACTCATCAACTGCTACCTCTAATAATGAAGTGAAGTCACTGGACTTCAAGTAGTTCACATCCTTTGTCATATCTGCAACCTTGGCTTTCAAAGTCATTACCTCTGAAGTCTCCCCATGTCTACTCTCACAAGTCTCAACTCTCGTTGTGAGAGTGTCAATGGATGCTCGTAGGGGAGTCAGTGCAGCTAGGATAGCACCCTCAATCATCCATGGTACCGCAGCCTCCAATCGAGTAGCCCTTACATTCGCAGAATAGGCCAAGTGTTCCATCTTCAGGTGCATGGCATGAGTGATCTTGGTCGGCTGGGAAGCAGTAGAAGTACCAGGAGTGTGAGAGGAAGTGGAAGCACCTGAAGGCTCGGAGTCCGGAGTAGGCAAAGGTGCCTCTGCAGGTATAGAGTCAATATCCACCTCTAGGCATGCATCTACCGGGGCTGCTCTCCTCTTGTCTGCATCTTCCTGAGTGTACTCGGCCTCTATACGCCAGATGTATGTAGAGGATATGGGAGTGACCTCAATATCTCTCATCTTATCATGACGAACTCCCGCACGCCTGCACAACTCTGTGATCAGCACCAGGAATGGAAGAGACGTCTGTCTCGACATGGCCCTCATGGCCATCTCCTACTCTATGATGAGTCCCATGTCAATTCTTTCCAAGCTATGATCGAATCGAGGCAGGCTGCCTTACGATGGACTCATTCTGGGATGGCATAATGGAGCTGCTAATGAATCCAAACCAAAATAGCGCAGCTACATTCAAATCCTTCTTCTCAATTGAAACTCCAGCTTCAATCCACCTCGGGGTGGTGTCAGAGATGAGGGGAGCTAGCCAGCCCTTAAGATCATCCAAGGGTGTCGTAGTGGTAGCCAAATTTGGGTAGTCAAAGACTGGCCCTTTATCAAATACCGCATTGATGTGATCAAGGCTACAATGCACTACTGTCCCCCGTACCATGATGGATCCCACCAGTCTGAAAGTACTGGCCTTCTTCTTGCCTTTAGGGACCAGGTCACCATATGTCGAGTAAAACTCCTGGACCCATATAGGGATGTATGGGCCTCAGGGCCTGGTAAACTGCTCAAAGTGATGGTACTGGAGTGTCTTGCTCACTTTGGAGTATTTGCCATCTAGGCCCTCTGTAGAAAGCAACTTTTCCTTAAGAATAGTCTGCAACCCATCAACTTTTAATCTGTTAAGTAGCCTGGGAGGAGGGACCTGTACTGGTGGCACTGGGGCCATAGTCGGTGCCGGAGCTGGTATTGTATTAGTTGTAGGAGGGGTGGTTGCTGGAGCCCTAGATGATTCTGGGTGAGACCTAGCACGGATCTCCGCTCGCCTGGACTGCAGTGGTTGGTCATCATTTGGCTCGGAGAATGCATCTTGGGAGTCAAAGGACTCTCCCTCGCTGCCAGAGTTGTGCTCTGGAACCTCAGTCACGGGCCTCTTGCCCTTTCCCTTACCTCCCTTTAGAGGCTCTATCCTTTCCTTTTTAGGAGGATCGGCTCCCCCTTTATTTATTACTATGCCCCGTGCTCTTTTACGGGGCGGCATGTCGAGGTTGGTTCTAACCATATCTGTAAAAACATAAAAAAAGTTAGATTCATTTCAAGAAAAGTTACAGAAAAATAGTTGCAGACAGACTCGCCGAATCATTTTGGTGAGCCAGATCAGGCTCGCCTAAAGGATTAGTTCAAAATTCTCTCAAAAATATGGCATGTCGACGATGGGAGGGGTCTTTCGGCGTGCAACAAACCAGCCCGCCGAAAGATTATAGTGCGTTTTAGGGGTTAGGGGAGCAGAAAGGGCGATCAAAAAAGACTTTCAGTGAGTTGCCGAATCAGGCTTCTCACCAAAAGTTACAAAACCAAAACTCAAGATTAGCATTAAACTTATCAGTTGTATGACATGTTCGTATGATGAGATTTGATGTTGCATTCATGTTTGAGAAGCCAAGTACCTAAAGGATTAGCTCAAAATTCTCTCAAAAAAATGGCATGTCGACGATGGGAGGGGTCTTTCGGCGTGCACAAACCAGCCCGCCGAAAGATATAGTGCGTTTTAGGGGTTAGGGGAGCAGAAAGGGCGATCAAAAAAGACTTTCAGTGAGTTGCCGAATCAGGCTTCTCACCAAAAGTTACAAAACCAAGACTCAAGATTAGCATTAAACTTATCAGTTGTATGACATGTTCGTATGATGAGATTTGATGTTGCATTCATATTTGAGAAGCCAAGTAGCTTATTACTACAGAAGAATGGGTTAAGCATTGTTTATAAGGGAAATTTTAGTGGTGGATCGTTGATTCAATATTAATGCGTTAAGTGGAGAAGTATATCCTGAGGGTTCTAAATGAGGACTGGTGATTTCATCTTAAGGTCCAAGCGAATTGATAGATACCAAAATGATAAGCTTATGGGTAAAGTAAGTCCCAAAGAGTATAAATGTGTGAAGATGATTGAAAATTTTAGTAAAAGGGGCATATAAAAGTGGGTTAGTCCTTTGGATTTGATTGGTATAATTGGGTTTAATGTGTCGTATTGATGAAAAGGTTGACCTCATGGTGATAACAAGAGCTAACTGAGCATGACGGTAATAAGAGTTCGTGATAAATTGTGGTTGAGATGCAACTATATAATAAGGATTGTTGGTTAAATGGATTTTGTATAGTAATAACAACTGCGAGTATCTAAGGTTGTGATTTTCTACTATTTGGTGCGTAACTTGATTGTATGAAAAGTTTTAGGAAATGCTGGAACATCACTCTAATAGAATTTAAAGGATCTAGAGTCAATTTTTTTTGTGGAATGTAGTGTAGGCTTCGGAAAGAGGTGAGAGCAATAACATATTCTCTTATTGCAAGAGCTAAAGAGGTATCTTCCGAGGGGTTGAGAATTGGGTTCAGAAACATGCGGTTTCATCCGTTTTGCTCTGGCTATGGTAATAGTATCATAGGTTCATCAGATTGGTTAAAAACTATTGGATATGACTTGAGGAAAGAGTGTACAGACGTTTAGCTTGAGTGTGATGATGAGTTTTTTGGTTTTGAGTGTAGTAATGAGTACAATTGAATTATTAGTGAAGGATATTGTAAGATCGATGGAGAGACGATCAATGATAAGATAATATACATAAATTCATAAAAATCTTCAAGGTATGAGCTAATGTTGATAGATAAAGGGATTGGGTTACATAGTTGGATTCACAATTCAAATTTTTCATTGTAAGTCTACATTCGTGGTGATATATTTTGTCAAGGTATGAATTTGTAAGGTAATCAATGATCGATTGCATTTGATATTAAGTATTTGGAAGGATTTATACATGGTTTGAGTCGTAAAGCTTATTACTTTTGACTGTTAAAGTACCTAAGGAAGGGTTCCACTTAAAAGTGTTGGTTTAGAGTAAGGTAAATAGTCGAGTGTTTATGATGATTGCTAGTATTGAGAGTGTGCACTTCATTGGAATGATGTGAAGAGTATGTGGAGTCAACAGAATGGAAATGGTTGGTATGGGCTCTTTAGAGGAAAGCATTTACTGTTATTCAACCTTTATTCTGTACATTCTTATGTGACCACCTTTTTCTTTATGTACATTTTTTGGAGTATGATTCACTAGCTATGCCGACGCATGTTTTCACTTTTGTGGGTGGATCCTTAGTGGTGGATCGGGTGTACCGATCTTGCGATGTCCTCTTGGTTGGGTAGCATATTTGGGAAGACTTGGTTATCTCAGATGCCATATTTGGTGTTGTCTTGGGGCTGTTAAAGTATTCTAGTGATTCTACTTGTACCACTTTGCTTATGAGAATTTATAGAAGAGCTACCATGAGTATTTTACAGTTGTGCAACAGTCTAAATATTGATCTAGTTGTCGAGGTCATGTTCCAATTATGTGTGGTTGAATGTGGGGACCCATTGAGTCTAGTTCTACCATATTTAAGGGTTATCTACAATCACAACTACTAATCTAACATTTCAATAGTGTTGTTAGAGGTTATGTATGCTTGGATGTATCACTCGATGGGTGGTTACTTGATCATTTTCTCTTTTGGGTTAGATTAGTTTGATTTTCCCTTGATGAGTACCTGATGTCTAAAGATCATTTTTTTCATATAACTTAAGCTCGTGAAAGGTTTATGTTGTGAGAAGGAAATATTAATAAGATCTATGATGGTTTGTGCATTATGAGTGTGTGGTGGTTGGTTCAAGTTCACTTCTGATTGTGGACAGTATTGATTCAGAATTTTATCATGGTTATGTGAGTAAAGATTCCACCTAATGGTTGTGTTAAGATCCTTAAGAACATGTTGCGGATGTGTGTACGATTAACTTTGGTGGCTATTGGAAATAGTTTTTGTTGTTAGTTGAGTTTACATACAACAATAGTTATCATTCGAGTATTGAGATAATCCCATTTGAGGGACTGTATGGGAAGATGTGTAGGTCTCCAGTTGGTTGGTCTGATGCATTTGGGTGAGACCCTGGGTACTGATTTTTTTGAGGGAATAGTTAGAGAATGTGAAAATCATCCAGGAGAAATTTCTAGAAGCTTAAAGCAGGCAGAAGGAGTATGCAGATAGGAAGGTCAAGGATTTAGAGTTTATGGAGGGTGAGCAAATCTTGCTGAAGGTTTTACCCATGAAGGGTGTAATGAGGTTTGGTAAGCGAGGTAAGCTTAGTCCAATGTATATTGAGCCATTTGAAGTTCTTAAGCGTGTGGGAAAGGTGACCTATGAATTGGCTTTGCCTCCAGGGTTGTCAGGAATGCACCCAGTGTTTCATGTGTCTATGTTGAAGAAATATCATGATGATAGAAATCATATCATTTGTTGGGATTCGGTCCTGCTTAATGAGAACATGTCTTATGAGAAAGAGCCTATAGCTATCTTAGATGGGGAGATCCGTAAGTTGAGGTCAAAGGAGATTGCCTCTATGAAGGTCTAGTGGGAGAGTCGTTTGATTGAAGAGTCCATTTGGAAGACTAAGGCTGATATGCACGAAATATATTCATCTTTTTGTCACTTTAGGTACCCTTTCTTACTCTCGCCTTCTTTTGATCATTCGAGGACGAATGATGGGTAAATTGGTATCTAATGTAAAGACCCATTTGGTCTTTTTGAGTACTAGAGTTTATTTTATTTTATAAAATACTTTTCAATAGATTCTAAAGGGGTATTTTGGATTATTCGTAACCACAATTATGAAATTAAAGGGATAGTTTAAACAATTAATTTAGTTGGTGGTAAAGAGAATAACATTTAAAATAAATAGTGGACCACTTCTACCATTTTTTATAAATGGGTCATGTATAATAATTAAGGTAAAGAAACAATCTGTAAAAGAAGGAAGAAAGAAAAGTAGGCGAGAAACTTTACCTGCACGTCTAACGAGAAAGATGACATCAAGAGGTATACTTGAATCTTCAATGTCCTTATTTAATAGTAGGGGATTACATATTATATAATAATATTCCTATAGTTTGATAAGAATAGAGAGTGGGTGCAGATAAGAATGGAAAGTGAGCGAATGTGCTGGCAGTTTGATTTTGAATAAGAAAGTAAGGGTGACAATAAATTGGTTGATGGGCTAATGATTAGCCAATCATTGACTGATGATATGGTAAATTTGGCTTATATTATATGATAGAATTGGGTTAGTGTTGTTGCCACTGGTTTTCGAAATATGTGGCTTTAATCGTGAATGTTATTACGTTGTCATCATAGTATAAACTTAGTGTTAATATATTGAGATACGTAATCAAATAGTGGTGTATTATATTATATGAACTCCGTTAAAGTCATGCTTATTGGAGGAATTAATATTTACCCTTAGGCTTGAACTTTAGGAAAATTGATTATAGAATTGGGTAAATTTCTGGGTCTAGGCTAGACATATAGTAACATGGGTGTCTATAGACTCGCTAACTTACAAATTATGTATACTTGATAGATTGGAAAGGTTCGGAGGCATCGAGAAAAGGAAAAGTAGCTTGCTTGACATCAGGTCTTCAGTGGAGGTAGGTTATGGTTTATTCTATTTGATAGATAGACTCTTAATAGAGATTGATATGCATTGAGTGATATTGTGAAGTTCTCTATGTACTTGATTGTGTGGTTTGTGATTGGTCTAAAATCCTGAGACCGTGAAATTTATAATCTTGAACCCTCTCTATCGAAGTGAAGCCTTGAATAAAAAAGGCTTGATGAAATATTGTTAACGAAGTGAAAAGTGGTGATAATAAATGATAAATTAACGATATATTAGATCGGGTGCCACGTTCCGGCATGGTATTATTGGATCGGGTGTCAAATTTCGGCATGGTATTATTGGATCGGGTGCCGCGTTCCGGCACGGTAACATTAAAGGAAAATATATTGAATTAACTTAATGTACTCAATCTCAAAGAAATCATTTTTCAAATGAGTGTGGGGTGGAGACATGAGTCCTCGTGTGTGTATTTGGTATTGTGACTGATTACGTACTTGCTTCAGTGTTTTTGTCACTTGTTCATGTTGTTCGTTGTTTTCCATCGGCTAAGTGTTATAGTTGACTTCATGTTATTACTTTATGCATATTAGTTTCTATTTTGAGTCTGCCGATGATATCTTCTTAGTACATGTTGCCTTTTACTGAGCCCTACTTGTGTTTTTCTTTGTTTTCCTTTTGTGGAGTGCAGTGAGTGTACCAGCGACTTTGACTCGCCCTCAGCTCTAGCCAGTCTCCAGCATATCAGGTTACAGGGTGAGCTATTCATTCAAGCTCGTGTTTGATTCTCTCAGTCATGACATGATGTCCTTAGTTTTTGGACATAAACCATTTATTTCATTTATGTTGGTGTCTTTGATACTCTTAGACTTAGTATTTGGAGATTAGATGTCTTTGATGTGATGACTTTTAGGGTTTGGAAAACGATATTTAATAAGACTTTGAGCTTCCGCATTATGCTTGTATTTTGTAAGTTGAGGTTAAATTTGTTGGTTCTCCCACCTATGAGGTTAAGTGTGGGTGCCGCTCATGACTCGACTTGGGTCGTGACATCTTCCGATTTGCCTTTCTTATCATTTTATTCTCTTTCAATTACGTTTTAAAAATACAACTTTAAGAAAAAAGAGAATGTAAGGAGCTACAATTAAAAGAATTTTAAAGTATATTTTAAGTTCTTCAATAAATTACACAAATGAAAAATAGAAAAGAGGAATGCAAAACTAAAGAGATAAAATTACTATAACAATAATTTTATTATATTGTAAGACTCTACATCATCTTCTTCTGAAATTCACAATTTTCTTTACTTTTGTATCTTCCCCGACTTTCTTCTTCATCCCCATAACACAAATTAAGAATATACTTATATGAAATTGTTAGTTACTCCATGAATTTATTCAATTTAGTTTCAAAGATTAGTAAATTGACTCAAAATAAATAAATAAATAATGTCACATAAATTAAAGTAAAACGTATAATTTAAAAACTTAATAGAAACATTCTTACTCATAGATTCTTTATGACTTTGTTGAAAACAACCATATGATGTGACGATTAACATTTTCTCTCACTCTAATGTATGATATGGTGATGGAGAACTGAAAGAATAACTTTGAATGACAATTTTCTTGATACAAAATATGAATTTATATAGACAAAGAGGAGGAATACCATAAGACATGAAATTATAAATTAAATTTTGGGGGTTATGAAGATTAAAAACAAAAGAGTTATAAATATTATTAAGAGTATAAGTTGAAGATGTGTGAGTTATTAGAAGTTATTTTTTATTTTATTAAAAATATTAATTATCTATCTATATATCTATCTATATATAATAGGAGAAGAAAAAATGACACATGTCAGCGCCACAAATTTTTAAAATTTTAAACAATTAATAATTAATAATTAAATATTGTAAATTCAAAATTTGAAATAAAAGTAAACACATGTCATCAAGTTACCCAAATAAAGAAAACTGTCAACATTAAAAAAGTTTTTCTGTTTTTAAAATCAAAATATAAAGCCGTTGCAGTTTTTCTGTTTTTTTAATAGTCAATTAATTTTTTATATTTAAAAAAAAAATACGAATAGTGTTGCAAAACTTTCAAACAATGAATTTCAATTCTACTCAAACTCAATATACAAGGCAGTTTAAATTGAAAAATGAGGATAAGTTTTTGTGTTTTCAAAATAGTCAATTAAATTGACTATTAAAAAATATAACCGTACCATTTTAAAAAAAAAAAGTAACTTCCCACATTTAAACTATAACTATAAAAATTCTTTAAATTGACATTAACCCACTCTCTCTATTATGAACATCTAAAGGAAAAAAAGCTTTTGATCAAAGCAGTCTGTTTTTACAATCGTCAAATTCGTTTTTTTTTCTTCTTATTTTGACAATCGTCAAATTCGTTCTTTTTTCTTCTTAGCAGTGTGGAAGAATTGAAAAACAATCAAAGCATCTTGTAGCCGAGATATAGATCCAACGGTACTTTCTTTGAATTTTAAATAGTAAATTCAAATTGAATTTAAAGTTTACTGCACATCAGTGCTTCATGTTGGAGTCCTAAAAACGTGCAACATTAATCAATGCAGGTTTATAACTTTTTTCCTTTCTTTTATTTGATTTTTGTAAGATTTTTACATTAATTATTTAAACTAATAAATAAATATATAATATATACACATAATTTATAATAGATACACATACGGTTACAATTTTTTTGCATACAAATAAATTTTTAAACTTTTAAAATAGAAAATTAGGAAAAAAAAATTTACGCAATAATCTGGAAAAATTATGAAAACGTACTAATTGAAAGTTATATTAATTTTTAAATATAAAACATGCCTAAATTTGTGCCACACTTTACTATTTAATATTTATAGTTATTTTCATTTGAATTTTTCTTTTTTCTTGAAATAATTCATAACTCAAAGTATTTTAATTTGTAAATGGTAAATTAAAAAAAAATTAACAATTAACAAATTAAAATTAAAATTATAATAGTACACACTCTAAAATAACTATACCTCAAAAATAAAATAAAGTCACGTTTCTTTTTTTTACCCGATTTTATAGCAAATTAACAATTACAAGGTCAATTTTACCTCCTACGGGTGTTAAATTGATTTGTTTACCTTTAAATTAAGATAGATTTTTTAGTTTTACTGTCGTTACTTATTTTTATTAGTGGGGTAAGTTTAAAATTTGTCTAATTGCATTTATTTTTTTGAATATTGTTATATGTAGAAGGACAAGACAGTGATGAATCCCTGTAATTAAGGCTACTGATCAAGAAAAAATTATATGCCCATTTATTGAAAAACGTCACTATATGAGAAATTGCATTGAACATATAACAAATTAATTTTGTTTACTTGGTTATATGTGGTTTCAATGAATATTATGTATGTTTCTAAATATCTAAACTAAACACAATTCCAATTAGATTTACCAAAATAATATTTTCTTATAGTGATTATGGACCACTGATTAAGAGTATGTTTTTTATATTTAATATGCAATATCTATATTTTTTGAAAATTATTTTATTCTATGTCAAAATATACTTTTAATGGTTAGCTTTAGTTAATTTTCTAAAGTACTTCCAAAATAGATTGTGGTATCTACTTATTTTTGCAAATGTTCATGATGCATTCATATATCAATAGACTTTTCAGCAAAAAGACACTTACAAATTACAATATATAATGTATGTTGATTATGTATTTTTTTATGAGCAAAAAGATTACGAATATAAAAAAATTAAAATTATTTTATGCTTTTATGTGACTTATCTTTTTTCAAGTATCATTGCTCATAATGAATTAATATTTAGTCTTTTCTGCATGCAGATACGTAGTCGTGTGAAAATTATTTTTAAAACTTATTTCAAATGGGTAAAAATAAATAAAACATGAAAAATAAAATTTTAAAAATTATTCAATAT